TCACTCTCAGTCGCGAATTTTTGCCAAAAGTTTGCAATCTTCAACTCAGAACGAATAAAAACCTTTCAAATGTCAATTTCAAGCTTTTCGTCTGGCAACCCTTTAAAAAGTCATCCCTAAATGTCAATCGTTGAAGCTTAGACGCCGAAATGTCAATTTCTATTGACATTAACTTTTTAAATTGAGATTGTCTGGTCAAATTTTCAAATTTTAACGGGAAAACTCAAAATATTCTCAATTGATCTGTGCTCCTAATATCAGTTTGGAACTTCATTTGTCAAATGTCAAGGTAAAATTTCGATTCACATTCCAATTTAGTGACTCTCAAATTGATATTTTCAATAGGAAAACCAATATAGTCAGTTTTCAATTTGGAGGTTACGTTGCGGCACACTTCACATTGCGATTATAAGCTCAAAACGTGCAATTCAATGTTCATGTCATTCTGTCAATGTCAATGTCCACTTCATTTTTGGGCTTAGGGAGTTCACAATGTCAACTTCAAAGTCAAACTTCTCACTCTCAGTCGCGAATTTTTACCAGAAGTTTGCAATCCTCAATTCAAAACGAATAAAAACTTTTCAAATTTCAATTTCAAGCTTTAAAGTTTTTCTAGATTTCATCTGGCAATCCTTTAAAAAGTTAACTTTAAATGTCAATGGTTGAAGCTTAGACGCCGAAATGTTATTTTCTATTGACTTTTCCCTTTTAAATTGAGATTGTCTGGTCAAAAGTTCAAATTTTAACTAGAAAACTCAAAATATTCTCAATTGTTCTGTGCTGCTAATGTCAGTTTGGAACTTCATTTGTCAAATGTCAAAGTGAGGTTTCGATTCACATTCCAATTTAGTGACTCTCAAACTGATATTTTCAATACGAAAACCAATATAGTCAGTCAGTTTCAATTTGGAGGTTACGTTGTGGCAAACTTCACTTTGCGATTATAACCTCAGAACGTGGAATTGAAAGTGACAATTGGGACATTTGACTTCTGACTTTGAACGAAGTCAGAAGTCAAATGATCAAATGTCAACTTCCACCTACAAAACTTGAAATGCGCAACTCTAGATTTATTTTTACTTTGCAGTTTTCGACTTTTAGTCGAGATTTTTTGGCTTTCAAACTCGACTTCCACTTTAACCTCAAAATGTCTAGAATTTTGTGTTTCTCCGCCTTTTTGACGTTGGACAGTTGAATCTCTTGGGACTCTGACAGTTGAAATGTCAACTTTCAACTTCAAATATTCAGTTATCAAGGTTGCCGTACGATTTTATAAGCAACATTTCACCTTTACAAACAGAACAGATGTTCGCAAAATTTGAACTGTCAAACCAGAAAACTTCAAGCGACAAATACGAAGTGTGTTTTTCAACATAGTTTTGAAGACGTTTGTTGATATCAAAGGAGTGTTGGCAACATTGCCTGGCATAAAGTCTGAAGATGGCGCCCATATGACAAACCTCCTTCTCTTCATTGCTTCAATCTGATGATGGAGGAGATTCGAAACTTTGTCTCTCTCATCTGTGGTTCGTACGTGCTCCCATTATAACCTGAAAATGTTGGCAATTCTTTTAAATAATCAAAATTGCAATTTTAACCTCGAACTTTTGACTCAAAGTGTTCTCTCTTAAATCGCGTACATAAATCGCAAATTTCTGACAATAAATCCGTCAAAATGTCAACTTTGACACGCAAAGTGGCATCTTGCATTTGTCAAATTCGAAGTAAAAATGTTCGGTTGCGAACAGTAAATTTCCATTTTAACCAAAAACTTTCAGGAAATCAGTGTGGAAAATGCCAAATTTCCGACATGACAACTTCATGCTTGAACTGTCATTTTCATTTTTAT